AAATCATAATGATAGTTTTGTTTTGCTTATTTTCTTTATATTATTGATTCTTGAGTCACTTTATATATATTTAGATTGCGTTATGATAGCCATTGATTTTGGTTCATTGATTTTCAATTTTGAAATAACAGTAATAAGGTGAGCTGAGAGGTAAAAGGCATAGTTAATTGAGTGAAAAGTCTTGAATTGTGTGAAATACGGGAGTTATGAGGATTTTTTTGTGTTACTGATTAGTTTTATAGATTTCAAGATATCTGAAAATAATGACTCCACTATATTAAAGGCAGATAACACTTTTCAGATGCAAGCCTTCTCCAAACAACTTGAGGTAATAACTAAGGTGATGAAAGATCTGAAAGATGAGATGACTTTAATGAGACAACAAAATGATGGTGTTCAACATAGAGTTGATCTGATACAAGTAAGGAAAAGAAATTTAGGTCACGAGTTTCAAATACTTGTGATTATAATGCTTTTATGATGATAGGTAAAGAGCACGAGGCAGAACGAATTACAAAGGTTTATAAAGAAATCAATAAAGAATGGATAGTTTTGGTTCAACATTGAAATGATGAAAAACAAAAAAAGAGCATCAATGGTTCATACAAATTACAAAGGTTATCATTCAAAAATATATATACAAATGGATGGCAAGAAGTACTATTTGAAATTATGTTCAGCTATTGCTTTCATACAAAATTGTTAGCAGCAAGTGCGGGCAAAAAAAGAAGCTCTAATGAACTAAATTAACCTACAAAGATTACCTAGCTTCGTGACATCTTTCTTATACTTCTCGTTTACAAATTGGTATTTGTAGGGTGGAGGTTCTTATTCCAATAGTATTGATGTTCTAGGACAAGTTTTCATCTTGTCACATTTCTATATGACTTGTTTTGGCTTTTCAAGATTTGTTATCAATCTTATTATGGGTTGTATGACCATGTGATCATGAATTAGCATGAAAAGGAAAAAAAAACTAAAAGGAGGAAAGAAACAATGAGTTAAAAGGAACAACCAAAACAAACCTAGGTTATAAATGCCAAGCATAACAAATCATGATATAATCATTAGCTGGTCGGACACCTTTTTTCTTGACATTTTAGGTATACATACATACATAGATATAGATGTGTGAGAAAAATATGAAAAATATAATTAAAGTGTAAATGAAGGCTAATCATTATATTTAAACTAAGATAACTAGAAAAGACATTAAAGATACAAAAAACAGGAAAAGTATCAATTGGTGCACCTTGCATGAAAGGCTAAGCAAACCTATACAATCTTATGATATGACATGATATATATGAGTCATATGGTTAATTAAGCATTCATATCAAATAGCATCAATGATATTCTTTAAAAATTAAAATTAAAAAAAAAAAGAATCCTTAACAATATAGTCCTTGTAAATAAAAAGGTATAAAAGACAAGGAGAAAACACATTAAAACACACTCAATGAAAACAGGAGGCCAAATCCTAATTCAATTCAAAAAGGAAAAACCATGTCTAAAAAGCAAATAATTAGATAAACAAAGAAATTTTTTAAATACAAAGAAAGATGCAAAACCCAGATTGAACACAATAAATTATGATGGAAAACTAGACTAGGCATTCCAATAAAAAAAAAAAAAGAATATAAGCTATGGGGATGAATATAAAAAAAATAAGCAAAAGGTAAGCTAGAACACAAAATAACCAAAGGACATCAACGAAGCTTTTAGTGAAACAAAGCATATTCGTATGTTGCATCTAATGTATTGAGCTTGATCTACGTGTTAAAACAAAACAAAAATAAACAAGTGAAAAAAAAGGGGAAAGTTGGATGAAAAAAGCGATAAAAAGGGGAAAGATGTTATAAAAATATTTTGAATATTAAAATAATTATAATAGCAAACTTATAATATTTTAAAAATATTTTTTTATTGATTAAGTTCACACATTTCTATATTAGTAGGTAAAGCATTAACAACTATATTAATGGTAATATGTTGAGTGTTTTTTTTTTAATATGTAAAAAGAAGTGTAATCATGAATAAACATTAATAATTTTCATCATGTGTTTTCATCGATTTATAAAAAAATTGCAACTAAACTTATCTTGGATTTTTGGGTATTTGACTGTCTTTTTCATTATATAATTCATTGTTATAAGCTTTTCTTTTTATTTCTAATAATATCTCATTGCTCATTATACATATTTAACCGACCATATTATAATAGATAAGCTTTTTCAATGAATTAATGAAAATAAAGGATTAAAATAATGAGATTAATTAAAATAACTCTTTTAATAATGGAATAGTAAACACTAAACTGAAGAATAATAGTTATATCAAAACTTAAAAAATGAGCAAACTAAGCACGTCGATGAATGTTTTAATAATTATTTGGGCTATCTTGTGCAAGCAAAAACAGTATCTATCTTTTTCCTTCATTTCCAAACTCAAGAGTTAATTAGAAATTATATTTAAAAAAAAATAGTTTTAGAACATAAACAAAGATTGGCTAAAATTAAAAAAACATTATTTAAAATTAATTTTTTTATATTTTTTTGTTTTGATATGCTAATATTATAAATAAATTTAAAAAAATAAAAAGAAATATAATTTTGATGCATTTCTAAATGAAAAAAAATTTAAAAAGCAATCTCTGTTATATTCTCAAATACCTTTTAAGTATAGCATTCTTTAGTTTTTAACTAGTTCATTAATTTTTCATCATTTATTGAATACATTCTAAATCAAAAAAAAATTAATAACAAATTTTTCATAGAAACTAATCTATTGACCTAGTAAAACATAAGCCTATTAAATCTTAAATGAATGTTTTTACAAACAAAGTAATTTTCACGTCTATTAACAAAAGTTAAATCGTGAAGGGGTTTCACTATAGTTTTATACACATATTATTATGGATTGCTATAGTAAAATTATCCTTTTACCCTTGAATGAGTTAAATTTAAGCTTTTGATTTGGGGTTTTTTTGTTTTTTCCTCTAGCTTAGTGGTTATTAAAAGATTATTTGGGGTGGTATGTGTCTTTTTAAATTTTTTAACACACTAAAAATATTTTTTTACCTCTAGAGTCAACAAATTTTTGAACTGTTACCTAGGAGTTTTCTTGACTTTTCACAATTTCCGTAACAGTAAAAATATTTCTCTACTCTCAAGATAAAAAAAAAAAAAAAGCTAGGCTGATGTTTTAGGTTTTTTCACTTTCCATGTACAATAAAATAACACCTTTAACCTTAGAAAAGACAAATATAAGGTTTGCCTTTAGGGGTATTTTAGTATTTTTCACATGGGTATTTTGTGTAATTAAAAGGGTCATAAGGGTGTTTTGGTATTTTTATATTTTTTTAATTGTATAATCCAAAAGCTGCTAGTTTGTGTTCCACACACTAGGGGGCGTATGTAACGCCGCTTGGTAATCAAATTTGGCTATTTGTTGTTTTTTAAAATGCGCAACTATGCTCTCTTTCATATAGTGTGACGCGTGTAGGCTAATAATGGTTGAATTGCCACCAATGATCAATTTTTTTAGTTTTTTCTTTCTTTTCTCTCTCTTGATAGCTAAAGTACACAATTGTCCTCTTTACTTGTTGTTTTTCAATTTTAGTTTTTATTTTTTATTTTTTTATTTTATTGTTATTCCTTTTATAGAAGGTTTTTTTTTTTCAATTTTGTCCTTCAAATGCAATTTCTCATATGTTTGTTTTTTATTTTAGTTCTCATTCTTTTAATTTCTTATTTTTTTTATTTCTTTTATAATTCCACCATTACTATTATTATCAATAAGTAATATCATCATTATTATAAGTAATAATTATGATGATAATGAAAAGAATAAAAATAATAATATTATTAGTTATAGTAGTAGTGTAATAATTATAAAAATAGTATAAGCAATAATAATAATAATAATAATAACAACGATAAATGTAGTAATCACGATAATAATACTTATAATAATTATGATATTACTTATTAATAATAGTAGTAATAGTGATAGTTATAATGATAGTGACAATATTAGTAATAATAATAATAACAATAAAAATAATAATTATTATAATAATAATAATGATTATTTATCATTCAATATTATATTTGTTGAGAATTGAGTTTCACTATTTTTTCATGTATGGTATTTTTTTTTATCTAATATCCTTATTACTAGTTTGAAAAGTTTACATGGCTCGATGTTATTTTTTATTTTTTATCTTTTTTTTTTAATTTTATTATTTAACATTAGTTTTTGAAGAAAAAAATCATTCAGGTTTCCTTTAAACCTATTTAATAAACTAATTCATATCGAGCTAACTCTTGAAGATTTATAGTCTTACTTGAGTTTATAGCATTGCAAAAAATCTTCGCATTATTAATAAATTTTTTTATGTTTTTAAAAAATGATTCCACATATGATGAAACATTGACAAATAAACTAATTTATATGAAACTAGTTTAAGATTTAAAACATTTAAAATATTTTTTTAATATTTTTAATATTTTTTATTATTTAAAAAATAAATTGATATTAACTCGTTACATAATGCAAACTAATCTACATGTTAGATAGATAATTTAATTTGCTTATCCCTATTTACATATATTTGGTAGTGTAATATATTTTTTTTGTTATTTAAAAAATAAATTGATATTGACTCATTACAGAATGTGAATTAATATACTTGTTAGATAAATAATTTAATTTGCTTATCAGTATTTATATATATTTGGTAGTGTAATATATTTTTTTGGGTATAATTATTTTAAGGTAAGACAACATGTTTATTTTTTAAAAAATTAGTTATCGAATACAAAATCCATTCTTTTATAATTATATAATTACGGATTATATATTTTTGCATAAAAAGTTTATAATTAATTTTTTTAATACAAATATTTTTTAACCACAAATTTCATAAACTTGATCGGTGCTCCTTGACTTGGGGGATGCAAAGTTCGTGTTGAATATTCTTCCTAGAACTTTCGCTGAATTCATGTTTTACCTCCTTGTTTGTTGGAAAATTTAATAAGGTGGCATTGACTTGGAAAATCTCCTCTCCTTAACAACCCCCGCCACGCCTTCCTTTCTCCTCTCCTCTCCTCTTGATTATTTGACTATTGCCACTCTCCACCCTCTTCACAGCATCAACGATGTCTCTCCTTAATGATCTCATCAACATCAATCTCTCTGATACTACTGAAAAGATCATTGCTGAATACATATGGTACTCTCTTTTTTCCCCTCTTTCGTCTACGATCATGATCACCAAGTTGTTTCACTCATGTTAACACCTTTTGTTTTGGTGTGTGTTTGTAGGATTGGTGGATCTGGAATGGACTTGAGGAGCAAAGCAAGGGTGGGGTTTATTTTCTTTCTTTTTTGGAGTTCTTGATCACTTGGGGCCAGTGTTTTACCTTCAGTTTTGTTATGTATTTAACAGACTCTGCCAGGTCCCGTGACCGACCCTGCCAAACTTCCCAAATGGAACTATGATGGTTCTAGCACAGGCCAGGCCCCTGGTGAAGACAGTGAGGTCATTTTGTAGTATGTACCAATCTTTCATCACTCTTAATTTGCATATCACTTTGCTTTCGATCTTGATCAGTGGCCATGCTATGATTTCTCGACGAGTAATGGTAGATCTTGCTGAGTATTTTTCTTGAAATAAGAGGGTTCGATCAACAGGTTTTTTCTCCCTCTGCATCTAACATTTTGATCCCTTTACTTCTTGAATCTTGACTGTATCAGCCCACAAGCAATATTCAAGGATCCGTTTAGAAAAGGAAACAACATCTTGGTAATTAATTCTTGGCCGTTAGATTCAATTTTCTCGAATCTATCCCGTGAAGGGGAAATAATGTCTCTTGGGCTTGAACCAAATTTTAGGTGATGTGTGATGCCTACACACCAGCTGGTGAGCCAATTCCAACAAACAAGAGGTTCAATGCTGCCAAGATCTTTAGCAACCCTGCTATTGCAGCTGAGGAGCCATGGTAATCACCTTTCCTGATTCTACAGGAGAAAACATACCTATCATATCTCTCTGAAAAATAATAGCTTTTATATATATAATACAGTATGTAGTAACATATTATACACATAGATATGTAAAATATAATATGGTTTTGTGGTTATCACATGCCAGATGGCATTTATTGTGTTACAGTAAATAATATTTTATATTTTTAGATTATTTTATTGTATTAGTATCAAAAATAATTTTTTAATATATTTTTATATAAAAAATATTTTAAAAAATAACCCACGAATCAAATACCATCTAATACGTTGGCAATTTTGGTTGTGATTTACGGTGGTGTCCTTTCCGAGGGGTCCAAAGCCATTATTTTTCTTTTCTTTAAAATGACTTTTTTTTTTTGCCTCTGTATATGAAGCACATCCGCACCCCAACTCGGCACAGATGGTGCCCTTTGGAATCTTAAAATGGTCAAAGTCATTGTCTTTATCGATAGCAATGGTTAATATGTATGAATTTTTTAACCACGAGTTGGTGGGATGTGTGCATAGCTTAGTTGCCATTAATATTTTCCTCAGCCTAAAGATTTTTTTGTTTTGGCTAAAAGTCCATTGACTTAATTATATAATTTTGTAAAACTGAAAAAGGGGTGTTTTTTTACTATTTATCCAACATGGATTTAAGCATTTTTTAGAGCTTAGTTTATTTTTACATTTCATAAATATTTTTGAAAAAAAATTATATTTTTTTCTTTATCTTAAATGATTTTTTTATATATATTTTCAAACTATTTTGATATACAAATATCAAAAATTAATTTAAAAAAATTAATATTTTTTATAAAAAAAAATCACTACCACAATATCTAAAAGGTTCCTAGTCATTCAGTTATAGCTATTTTTAAAAATGTGTTAGATTTGTAGTTATCTTATAATACCACATACAAATCTTTCATGCTTAACCATAGATTTAGGGCTTAAAAGTATGAAATTCATATAGAAACTGAACTCTTTGGTTTTGTTTCACCAACTTATTTATGGTAATAAGAAGATTTAGAGATAAATAAGTGTACAGTTTTAATTGTTTTGTCATGCTATATGTCTTGATCTGTCTAAAGAGAGGATATGATAGACTCGCTCACATATAAATTGCTTTGCATTGTTGTTGGAAACTTTCTTGTTAACATCATGATCATCATCACAGGAATTAAAATAAATTGTTGACATTATTATTCTATCTATTTATACAACTTGCACATTTTCTACAAAGTTTCTTGTTTCAATAATTTGAACTATGTGAGGTCATCTAGCTTCTAATGCAACTAGGGCTTGAACCAAGCAATCGTTTGTCCTACATGGACAGCCGGATTGATTTGTGTTATGGGTCGGCTTTGTGTTTCTATAGCATTTTATCTTCTGTATATCACTTTCTTTACACTTCATGATTGAATAATTTATATGGGGTTTCAAATTTATTTGTTTATACTTCATATGGAGTCAACTATTGGGGCATGAATTAGTCAACATTGGGCTTTAGTGTTTTATAAAACAAGGTTCGGAAATTGCTCTATGCTATGATAACATTTTGTCAACATGATGTTTTTTTTTTTCCAAGGGTTGACTTTCTTTCCAATTGTTTGCCTAACCTTTCTTTTCTATGAAAATAATAATTTCAGAAAAAAAAACTCTTTTGGTTTAGGACTTTGCCTTTCCCAAGTGGATGTCTGCGAATAAAAAAAAACCCTTCTGGTTAGGTGTCCGCTACTGTGACAGAATCAAGTGCTTAGCTACCACCTTACAATAATGACTTTATAGGATTTAGTAGCTGGTTGGTCATATGCTGGCATGTGAGGATCAGTTAGCATCAGAAAACAACAATGGTTTTGACCAAATCCTTCAACTATCTTGATGATCATGTCTTTCACTTCTTACTAATGTGCTCCTACACCGTAATACAAGAATGTAAAGAATCTTGTACACCTAGAATGCTGTTTTCTACCACAACAACAAAGGTCAATCAGCGTAAACTGGCTCAAGATCTATCCAGAAACCAATAATTATATTCATTAGCTTGCAAAAAACAGAATTATTTATCAGTAGCAATTATATTTTGTTTCATGATATTCTGGGATCGCCTTCTTTTATTGCATTGACCATAAATTTGATTTCAGTTAGCATTGATAATTAATTCTGGATGTCTTGTATGCTATGATCAGGTATGGAATTGAACAAGAATACACTCTTCTCCAGAAGGACACCAATTGGCCTCTTGGATGGCCAGTCGGTGGCTTCCCTGGTCCCCAGGTTCGGAGTTTGTTTCGATATCTTCCGAGCATGATTAATAAAATAAATTATCAGAATGTCACTCTACAAGTTCTGTGTTCATGTAATTCAGGGTCCATACTACTGTGGAGTGGGGGCTGACAAATCTTTTGGCCGTGATATTGTTGACTCCCACTACAAGGCATGCTTGTATGCTGGCATCAACATCAGTGGTATCAATGGTGAAGTCATGCCTGGTCAGGTATGCTTTTGATTGCCATTGTTGTTTTGCTGGTCTAATAAACTTATTTAGTATTCGTGCTTATGTGTTGGATTAATTGACAGTGGGAATTCCAAGTTGGTCCAGCCGTAGGAATCTCTGCTGGTGATGAAGTGTGGGTTGCTCGATACATTCTTGAGGTATGTCACAACTACAAAGACATTCTTGTCGATATATTTTCCTTTTAAATGGAATCTTCCAACATCTTATTTCGCTTGGTCACACAGAGAATTGCTGAAATCGCTGGCGTCGTGGTTTCTTTTGACCCGAAACCAATCCCGGTTTGTCTTCCTTACAATCTGTTTTTTTGTCAGCTTGTTTCAGAACGTCGTGCATTTAATTAAATCACTTGTTTTTCATATCCATGTCCAGGGTGACTGGAATGGTGCTGGTGCTCACACAAACTACAGGTAACGTAACGCACTAAACCAAAATCTTTTAAACGAGCTCGCTACATGCTCATAGACCTTCGATTCTTTAGAGCTTAAACATTTAGAAAATGTACTTGTTGATGGTTTGGCTTTCATTTTTCCCCTCAGCACCAAGTCGATGAGAAATGATGGAGGGCTTGCCGTGATCAAGAAGGCCATCGAGAAGCTTGGTCTGCGCCACAAGGAACACATAGCTGCCTACGGAGAGGGCAATGAGAGAAGGCTGACAGGTCGCCATGAGACTGCTGATATCAACACTTTCTCCTGGGTAAGTTCAGCTCCTTAATTTCCTTTTTTTTCTTTCACACACTATAGAACCATGCCATCCTTTTAATTGGCTTTCTGTTTAGTAACTTCTTCACTTTCCAAACCATACAGGGTGTTGCAAACAGGGGAGCATCTGTCCGCGTTGGTCGTGATACTGAGAAAGATGGAAAAGGTAAAGCACATCCTGTTGATTTGGATTCATGACCTCACAATTTCAAATTAAGAGCATAAGCTTATATATCTTTGTTATAATTGACAGGTTACTTTGAAGATAGAAGGCCAGCATCCAACATGGATCCCTATGTTGTCACATCAATGATAGCTGAAACTACCATTACCTGGAAGCCATAGAGAGGGAATTGAGTATTGGAAGATGATGGATGACAACAATTTCTAAATTTCTCTCGATCCAAGAATAATCAATAACTCTATTTGTTTTTCTCTGCTTTGGATTGATGGATTGCTTTTCATTCTGTTCCCATTTTTCTTATGGTTTCCTTTAAATGCCATTCTGATGGCTGTTGATCAGTTATGAACATATCCACCTCCTGTTTAATAAAAAGGTAGTTTAATTAGCCGTCGTAGTGTTCTGCGAAGGTGTTTAAGATCATCCATAGCTGTGCTTATCTGTCATGAATCAAAACATGCTTGCACACTCAACCAAATCCATAAGAAAGATGTCTCCAGCGCCAGGGAATAGTAGCATCAAATGATTCATAAGCCCAGGCAAGCAAGAAATTTCTGACGGCGTTTTTTGTGTGTTTGTTTCTTTCTTCGAGGTGCATTCAGGAAATAACTAAAATAATACCAATAGTTGTTAGTTATTCCCCATCAACATAAAATTTCCTGGTTCCGGCAATCAACTGGTATCCATTTCTGAAAATTTCCTGAAAGGTTCTCTTTGTTCTTTGTTCTTTTGATATTTCTATCCACTGCCAAGGAGAAAGAAATGCTTGGATTGATGAGAATTCTGTGGCTTTTGATTCAAGATGGTCTTCATCTACATTACGGAGTGTAATCCTCTCTCCCAATCCAAGACGACCACCCCGCTGTCTCTGTGATTACTGATTAGAAGCGGAGACCCCCTAGTGAAAATCCCAGGTCTAAACTGCTTGGACATCCCTTTGGAGACCTTGAAGGTTTTTTCTTTTTGGTTACTTTGATGTGGAACCTGAAAGAAGTTTGTTAATCAGCAAGAAGAAGTAATATGAATTCTCAAGAAATCTGTTAACTGCTGCAAGACACCGTTGCTTTTTGGCTGGAGATGGTGGCACCAACAGAAACAACAACGAAAAGAGCGAAAGCATGGGCGATAGCTGCAGTGAGTCCAGGGGGCAGCAGCCGCAGCACTGTCTGTGACTTTGGCAAGGGCCATGTCGAACCCTTCATTGGCAAAGACAATAATAAGAAGGGTGGAGATGAACTCAGCCAAGGCTTCCTTCAAGGCATCGAGCGGAGTCGGCTCATGGTAGCGGCCCACGACCATGTTTTTCATAAAGATCAGACGATGGAGATTGCTTTTGTGTTTTTTTTTAAAAAAAACACTGACCACACATTAGCTTTCGTGTTTTGGTTAAAATATTATTTTTTTAATTAATTAATTATTATATATCATAATTCTATATAAATTTTATTAAAAAGTTTTTATTGTTATGAAAAAAAATAATCTAATTTATATATAATATTAAACACATAATAGGAGTACTGGTCTTAGCAAACCTGTTGTATTTGTTTTTCTATATAAATTTTAAAAGTGACAGCTATTGATATTAAAAATGTGACTCTATACAGTTTAAAATAATTTTCTTTTTCTTTTCTATAATTAAATATATATGTATTTAATATTTACAAGTATTTAAATTGATTTAGATTTTCAAGAAAATATTAGTAAACTTGATTCATTGTTTTGAATTATTGATCAATCAATTGTAAAAGAATATATAATTTTATTTAATTACATTAAAAAAATTCTTTTCCTCTCTTGTAGTTTTTTTTTTTAATATTTCTTCTTGTATAATTATAGTTAAAGAGAATATGTTAATCCATATATTTATACCATAAACATTACTTTTTTAAAAAAAATATATCAAATTTAAATTATCTTTTGTGTAACAATAAAAGAGTCTAAACTTTATAATTATAATTAAAACATGCTTAAATATTATCAAAAAAAATTGGAATTCAAATCTGAAATATCTTGGTGAATCTTCTTCTAAAGATTTTTCTCTTGGTTAATCTTCCTCAAAATATTTAAAAAAAAATTGATAATTAAATAGAGATAGATAGAGTTATCATTAACTATAAATCTTGAATGCATTGAGAATTTAGTGTGATCCCCTCGTATGGCATGGCACCGTGTAAATTTTTTTCACAATGACTTTATTTTTGTTATTTTTTTAAATTTAACCCTTATTTAACTTAATTATAGGCCAAGTTGTTAGGGAACGGTGAGATTGAAAAATAGGGATCCAAGTAAAAAACACAGATAAAATGGATGGCAGAGTTTGGATAAAAAGTTTATTATGGTCCTCATACTTTCTAAATTATAAATATTACAATTTAAGGGCAAAATCAATTTTGATCCTAAATCTTTTTATTATTATTATTTTTTGTTGTTAGTTTGAAAAATATGAGAGAAAATTAGCAAAACCCAACACTAAAGAGAGAAGATTTATGTTGGCATCGATTTTAACATAAAGAACAATCAGTATTATAGCTCGTTTGTTTACGCGACTGCGGCTGCGTTTTAATTAAAACGCAGTTTGCAGCCGTTTGGTAAAGCAAAAAATTGATTTACTGTGTATGGATCCCACATAATTTTCACGGTTGAAACGCAGTTAATAAAAAGCAGAGAAATGCTACTTCTCATTTACTGTTTGTGTTAATTGCACTGTTCATCAAACTGTTCATACAGGTTTTTTTTTTTTAATATTCATTTAATTTTATTAATATTTTTTTGTAGGTTTTTTTTTTTAGTATTCATTTAATTTTATTTTCAAAAGCTTTTTTAACCAAAAACATTAAACTATTTTTTCTTCAACTTCAATTTCAACCACAGTTTTAACCAAATACCTATTTTTTCAAACCAACCTCAACTAAAAGTACTTTTTATAAAACAACTTTTTTCAAACCACAACCACAACATCTACCGCAACACCAAACACACTCTTACTGTCTAGTTGTTTCTTTTGATGAATGGAATTCATATTAGATTTTTTTAATCTTGAAATTACTTAAAAAAACAAATCTAAACTTGATAAGATATTTTATTTCAAGTTGATTTCAAGTTTTGAAATGATTTTTTTTAGTTTTTTGAGATTATGAAAGAGTTTTTCAAGTTACTTAAGATGTTTTCTAGATATTTTTGGTAAAACAAAGTTGAAAAATCACTTTCAGGTAAAAAAAAACTTCTCTCTTTATTTTTCAAGTCATCATAGTGCTCGAAAAATGAACGTTATCAAACAATATATTATGTGACTTCTTTTTTTCATAATAAATGCCTTATCAAAAATAAAAATAAGGGCAACACTAGCTTTTTTTAAAAAAAAATACTTTTTTAATTAATTTTTTTAAAGTAATTTTTAAAATTATATTTAAATTAATACTCATTCTTTTTTTTTACCTAACCTCTTTTTAAATAACAGTTATTTTTTAGTTATTTTATATTTATTTAAATTTTTAAGAGATTATTTTAATACATCTATAATTTTTTTATGTTTTATATAAATGAAACTTATTTTAAAAAAATACAAATATTTATTTTCAGATTATATTTTTAATATGTGTAACATTAAATAATATTTTTTTATCATTTATTTTATTTAATCAATTTCATATGTATATATTCTTATTATTTTTTAATTAAACAAAAAATATTTTTTATGGTCATAGATCTAAGTTGCAATATCAAATATCTTGGTTTATATTTGATTTTTATTTTTTTTATCTTCAATTATGATTAATAACTTTTTATTTATTTATTAATATAAATAGTTTTTCATTTATTTTATTAGATGTATATATAAATTTTCATTTTTTTTATATAAAAAAATCGTTCAACACATTTATATACTTTTTTTTTCCAAAAAAAAAAATATCCACGCCAGATAGCTGGTTCTTACCATAAAGGGCACATAATACCCAGGGTTTTATGAAGCAACAAAATATCTCCCACATGTCGATATGGATAAATGAGAGGTTGAACTAAGAAGAAATTGCAAATATGGTAAATAATTATATTGTGATAACTAAAACTTTACTTTAATTTATGTATGCCTCAATCTTTTTTTATTTTTTAATATATATTTTTTAAAATTTCATTGTTATGCTTGATGATTAAGAGTATGTTTATCTATACGTCAGTGACTATGTTTTACAAAAATCACAAATTAATTGTATTTGATTAAAGTTTAAATAGGTGTTTTTTAAATATAAGACTCATAAAAATAATAATGAAATGCAGTTTTAAAAGCAGCAGGATTTAGCTGCTTCGCCAGCACTATTTATTTTTGTTAAGTGAATGGTTTAGAGTCAATAAATTCACTATGCACATAAGTAAACATATGAACAGTGCAATGAAATTTTTCACTGTTCACATAGAAAGAGCAGCATATTGACATAAAACACAATTAGTCTTTATTCACTTGCTGAACAATGAAAGAATCCATTTTTTTAATTGTATTTTATAAAAAAATTAGTGTTTAATATTATTTAATAATATTATATAAATTATAGGGAAATCGTATAGTGGCGTAATATTTATAGAATTTGATCGCAATTCTAATTTTATTCTTGATGATATTTTACCTACTGTTGTTGCATGCTTAAAAAACTAAGAAAACTGTAGTCCTTATTAGATATATTTTATATATGATGAAATTATAGATAGTTTAATAAAATAATAAAAAAACACTTTATATAAAGTATTATTTATTTTATGCTGTTTTAACCAAACATGTATACAAAGGTGGAGTGAAGGGGGGGCAAGCAAGGGTTCGGGTCCCTGCAAGACTTTTATTTATTTATTAAATGTAAGGTGCTATAATAGGCTATAAAGTGATCAAAAAAGTGCCTATGTGGAAAATAATAGGCGACAAAGTGCTTACATGGAAAGAAAGAAAAAAAAATAAAGTGATCAATGTGTTTATTTGTCTTTTCTCCCCCTGTAGACTACAAGGTACAACCCTAATATAAATGCTTGCAATTGGCAACGCAACCGGTCAAAATAAAAACAACAATAAAGATATAGATCACAAATATAATTTTTGTGTGGAAAGATTGAAGTAAAGTACTGTTTAATTTATCTTTTAATAAACAAAACAAGGTAATTGAATATCAATAACTTAAATTTTAAATATATTTTTATTTTGTGATTGAGATGTTTATTAAGAATTTGATGAGATTTTTTTATAATTTTATAATATTTGCTTTTTTTTTAATCAAATTTACTAGTTCTAACAATTTTTTTTTGAATTCTTGTTATAGTGATTTTTTTTCTAATTAATTATATATATTTTATTGATTTGTTTTGATTATGCATGGATTTTTTTAATATTTTATTTTTAGCAGAGCCACT